GTCGGAGAGTTAATTTACTTTATATGGTATAACGGTTAGGCAGGCAATGGCCACTCTAACAACAAATACTAAAATTATATTTTTCTTAAACGTGCTTAGAAATTTGAGCATTACTTGCAGCGGCCGACAATAGTTGTATGAAAACCCGTATTCCGTCTTGTTTAGGGATGAAAAAATTACTATGTAAAAACGTACTTGTTGTGTAACTTAAAAAAGGAACGGATCTTCTTATCCGTAATATGGGACCAAATAAGAACTGAGAATTGATGTACTTACGTATGTACGTCTCTTTCCGGCCGCTGCAGTGTGCTATTTTAGGGTTTATTCAACGGAAAATAGGTTATCGACTTTCCGGTTTATTTATTGTTAGAGTACAGACAGATAATCAGAAATCTGAAACAGATAAATGGAGCAGGATTAGTTCGCGAGTTTCAATCGCGATTGTATTCCTGTCACGTAATACTTCCAGCGGCTCGATGCTGGGGCAGAATGTGTCGCTGCGTTGCCCTATGTAGTTTCAATACAAATGAAAAAACTTGAAGCAGAAATAACAGTTTTGAAATATATAGATTATATGCATTCGCGACTTACGACATCTCTTTGTGTTGTTGTAGAGAGTAAAGTTTAGTCTACATATCTTAAGTATTATCCTGTTCATATTATAATGTGTTCTTCTAATGAGAAGTGTAACAAACTAGCTCTCTACTAGTGGGGTAATTAAAGAAATGCCAAGGTTTAAAAAACCTACGTATACAATTATCAAACGAAACGTTGGGCTATTTATTTATTTATTTATATGAAGCTGAAGAGTTAATTCTTTATTAACGCAAAAAAATTAAAAAGATTTATTATAGGCTATAACATCGCGCTGGGACAAATTAAAACTAAGAACAAGAATGGAACGAGCAATGAAAGAAAAAAAGGGGAAAAAAAAAAATTGGGGGGTTGCGGGGGGGGAGGTGGGGCAAAAGGCTAGAACGAAAATAAACGAAAGACGACCTTATCGCTAACATTAAGCGATCTCTTCCCCTTTAAATGACAAAAAAAAATGTCGCAACACTACTAAGTTATGTAATGTTTGTGAAGAAAATTGAGCTCAAAATGACTACAAGGTAGGCGAAGTCGTTGACACAGGTAGTTTATTTATAAACGTATACAGCGACTTAAAACAATCCTTTCTTGCAGCGAAATAATCATTAGTCTCTAAACAAAAAAAAAAAACATAACTTAAAAATTTAAAAGAAAGTGAAAAACAACAAGATGTGTTGCTTAGTTTGCACGTGGAAACTGGCATTTAGTATGGATTGGTCATTATCTTCTGGAAATGTATCAGGTTGCTTTTCGGTGTATGCACAAAGTCATACAATGCACTGTATTCGATTGTGCAAATGGCGTGGAGCGTGCCAGCGCCAATCGGCACCCTGTCACGTGGGAAGCCGGTTCAGTGAATAATTGGAGCCATCCTGCTTTTGGCCTTCACGTTGCTTGCTTTATCGATATCTCACTGCACGGCTGTCTAGCGGCCGATCGCTTGTTCGTATCTTCTAGAAGTCAATATCAAACATAAAAAAAAATTTAAACACTAACAGTTAAAAACGCGATACATTTCACTTAAAATCCGTCCGTTTCACTGATCTGTTCTTTATCAGGCAAGCAGTTGATCTCACTTCTATGCCCTGCCTGACCGAAATAATTTTTGTTTCCCTGGGATTCGAACCCAGGACCTCTCGCTCTTAACGCAATGCTAGGCAATACGTTTAACCATTTGGCTACAGAGGCGGTCATTTGACTGCGTAGTATTTAAAAATCATTTATTTATGTAGGTACATAAGTAAAATGGTACATAGGTACGTAAATCCAGGTAAAAATTTAAAATTGTAGGCCGGAGTCGAACCTATGTCCTTTATCTATGCATGTACTCTTCGTGCTATATATTTCTTCTTCTTGCAGCTCACAAGCTAGTTATAAATATTGAAATGGTACACTCCAATAATGAATTATTACTAAGAGACGTACCTAGAGTCGATCTCAAAATTAATATCCTCAATTTTCCCAGAGCAATCTGCTCAATCTGTTCGTAATAAAAAGCTTAATCCAGACGGGGCATCGAACCCTCCTACCGAGGGTTGACTAATTGAACTTGGCGTTCGAATTCGCACCGGGTACGTACTTCCTTTATATAATATCTCAATTGAGGCAGCCTAACTGCAATTTTTTATAGTCTAAAAAGTCTAAAGCACAGCGACCGAAAATTGTTAACATAATTATTACACAAATAATAGTAGAAATTCATTCATGTGCCTAAGTGAACGCACTTTTATTACCCTCCTGATTGAAAATCATGTTTTTGTTGTTAGGCCACTCTGCCTCTAACAGCCTCATATAATAATGTGTCAATTTATTGTACCTATTGAATGATGAATTCTAGAAAGAATATAATATTACATTAACAAAAATCAATACGACAAATTTTATAACATTACATCATTAAACATTGTACACGTAATTAGGTAAAAATCGACTCGGTAAATGTTCAAAGTTAACAGAAAACTTTCCCTTTGTGAAAATTCTGAAAACCGTCTCGTCCTCTCTGTTGACTTTTCATTAATCTCTCAGGGCTTTTAATTAACGACGGTAATTAATATGGTGTAAGTCTTGTCACTTAGAGCTTCGGTATTGGGGTATATGGATTTTTTATTTATTATTGTTACTATTAAGGACATAATTGGTTTACGCGTTTATTTAAGTAATAAGTGACAGTGCACCTTGGTGAGACGTTATATGGCTGGAGTATTTCACCTTTCATCAAGTAAAACTTCCAACCTTGTCTAGCCTCTATCGTAGAAAAAAAATTGCCATTTAATGCACACCAGGCTAGTTGTCAAAGATTTCAGTGACGTAAACCAACCACAGACTTCACTAAATATTTTTATTCGAATAAAAAAAATTACGCTTATTGGTCAAGTCCATACATCAATTACGGACATAAGTAGCTTAGGTATAAAGAAATATATATACGTCGTCCGATACATTTGTAACAATTGCTGTGTATCTAATAAATACTTCTATTAAGTGGGCTAAACTCCGATTGTAACGTTTTAGCTGAAAAAGAAAGTATTCCGGCGCGTGCGCATAATCATTACGACTTCCGTTGTATTTGCGTGATGAATGGATCAATATTTAGCGCAGTGTTGAAAGCGATTTATTTCGACTGCTGTTCATATACGAAAACTCTTGAATTGTGAAACTTGTTTTAAGACAGAGATGCAATTAGCGACTACAGCAGTTAGCTTGCTTATATTTATCTAATGTTATGAATTAACTTCTAATGATGAATACCCCTAGTGTGGTAGATGGCCTATATACCATAGAAGAGGCTCGAGTTCCAGCTGTGGGAACAAATAAAGGGCACGTAAAACAAACAAATAAGGACAAATTGTACGATTTAAGTCCAAAGATACAATAGATCGACAACGCAAATTATTAAATTATCCAGGGCTGGATTATTTTTTCTTGTCTGTACTCCTTTGTCTTTAAAATACATCCCGTTTTCCATACTTCAGCTTGAATCAATCAGTATCAAACGCTAGGCGTCATTTGAGAGGTTTATTTCGTAAATGCGATACAGCATTATCCGTAACCTTGTGAATATTTTACGAAACATTCGGGATATAATCGTATCGCTGAAGCCATAACCGAGTTAGCGAATGAGCCTCGTTAATTGTCGACATTTTGTGACGCTAATCCGATTTACGTTTCTACGTTGTATGCATAAGTATTTAAATTGAACGAATGTAGGAAGACATTTATTCGACATGGAGGTGAACGAAGACACGATTGTGTATGCATCGGTTAACATACGTACTATGTTTAAATAACGCTTTAAGGGTTTAAAACGCGTATGTGAAACCGGCCCTTACAAACTTTCGATTTACATATTTTATTTGCCTTGAAATAGAAGTACCATAATCAAAATTGTGTGTTATGTATGTTTAAGTTCAATTCATATTTAACAAAGGAAGCATTAGTAATTATTAAAAGTATTTGGAGTTTTGATACCTTGGCAATATTAGTGTTTTAAATGATCAAGGAGCCCAAGTCCAACTGCCCAATGGATATTCTGTGTTTCAAAGCTTTTAAGTCAATAACTGTGTTTCAAAGCGTTTAAGTGAATTCTTTATATTTTTCAAAAAAATTAATAATAAAAATCGGTGGTTTTCTACCGCCGATTAAAACCAACTAACTTTTTTTCAATATCACATGTTATAGAATTCCAATATCTCTAGTTACCACCAATATTGGCTTGAGTTACCGCGTGTCCGTCTGGCGTTAGTGTACTCGTCGTCCGCATACATAATGCCGGTGGGTAATCTCAAGCAGTAGCGATATATGTAAACATTTTAATGTAAACAAACAAGAGATTAACCGGTATCGTCCGACGACCGTGTCTGCGATCGACAGAAATAGTGCCCACTGTGTGTTTTAATAGTCTGTTGAATAGTGCACCATCACGTGCTTATTTGCTTGTTGAAAGATCAACATATAAAATATTGTATTTTAAAATAATCGTACAAGAGTTAATAAACAAATAAAAATCTATTAAGTCTCCCCTTGACTACGACTGCTGCAAAGCAGCCGAAACGTCAAGCCGTAGTTAAAAATGATTTCAAATAAGTCTAACTAATACATATCGTGTTAAAACCGTTAAAGTGTTTTATTTAAATGTATGCTACTCAAGTGAACTAACTACAGGCGGTATTAAAATCTATTAAGAATAAAAAAAAAAACACTACACGGGCGGGACTTGAACCGGTATTCACAGCTTCGGTACAGCTGTTCTAACTAATTGGACTACCGTGTACCTTTACTGTTTTTAATGTTTCGTTTTCTTAATATAAAGAGATTTTTGAATGCCATCATGTGCATTATATTAACGTTCTTAAAAAAATTGATTTAGGTAAAGAATTCTTAAGCATTATCTACACAATGTAACCCGAGCAATGATCCGACAGCGGCGGTTAACCAGCAAAATGTTTAGAATCGACTCGGGCGTGGCATTGAATGTTGACGCTGGATTCGGGCGATGCCGTACCTCCTGCGCGTGGAGGACGTCAGTTGCCCACTACGACGTTGGCGTAGCGCACGCCGCTTCACACGCCCGCTCCGTGCCACACGTGCCGAAAATACCGTCTCGTGCCGTGCTATCGGACGGTCTTTCGAGAAGACCGCTCAGTGGATAGACCGATAGTGTTGTGACGTTGTGATCCTGTCGAACCGGTTCCGATCGAGCAGAAGGCTTACTGTGTAATTTCACTTTCGACTATTTTTGTAACGGAAAATATTCAATGCAGGATTTGTATTTGCATAATAATATTATTCGGTAATGAGTTGCGGAAACTTTTCAATGACACAAACTCGTTGAACAATCTACTATATGCGGATATCTTAGATTATTTCTTGTCTGCGTAGTTTATTGCTATGTTAGTTTGAATTCACTCGTTTAACGTAAACGGCTGCCATCTTTTCTATTTACCCACAAAATCTTATCGAATAGGACGTAATGCTCATTATCTGTGGTTCACGTGCAAATATTTGTCTATGCTACATACTGATAACGATAGAGGTAATATTATGATCTTGAATCAATACGATTTGTGTGTGCTTTTAGAGGTTTTTCCTACATTTCCTTCTATAAATAACTTCGAAGAAATCTCTAAAGCTTCCCCTTTAAGAGGGAAAAGGCAGCGCACTTTCTACTTATTTTACTTTGAGCCTCTCTAGTTATGTTCGCCGTGCACCGAGAATAAGTAAACGCGGAGTCATTAATTACTTGTACTTAGGCATTACTTAATCGCGCTAATTGGTTAAATGCACGTACCCCGAGACAGTACGTGGCCGGCCTCGATAGAAATGTTATTAGCAAACACTGTTCGTTTCAAATCGCGTTACACGATCGAAATAGAGAAAACGTAAGATTAAAATTGTTTCAGTGTTTGTCTTTTTTCCATGATTTCCGGGTAAATTAATTGTGTAAGGCTTTCACGGCTATCATTCGGCATATCATTGTTTTTCGGGCTGTTCGGTCGACGGTTTGTCATCACGAGCGGAAGGCGTCATCAGGAGATGTTAGCTCCTCGATCGCTCGAAGAATTCTCGCTTACGTCGGCCAAACATCCCGAAAAACAATGATAAACTGATTTCTGGGTAGTTTTTGCTTTTAGCTACCTGCGTTTATACGAATAACAATAATTTGTAATAAATCCATTTTCTTAAGATTGAACAATATGGTTTAGGAACTTAAGAAACGGGTAATATATATCTCGATCTATATTTATAATCCCTACTTAATTCTGTATGTGTTGTGGTCCTACGCCATACGGGGATAGTCCATTACGTATTCCGATCGTCACTTATAGCTTGGGTCGGCCATTTTGAATGCCAATATAAGTGGCTAATCTATGATTTGAATTCACATTCGCTTAACGTGCCGTTTTGCACTTTGCTTGGTTTTCGGTTGTTCAAAGTAATAAGAGCTATTTTAGCTTGACACAAAAATAAAATATTGTAGTTATAACTTATTATAAACAGTCCAATATAGGATGATGAATATGTCAATTCAGGTTCATTTTTTCTTAAATGCACTAGAATTTAACGTGATTTAAAAATAAATACTTAATTCATATTACTTTACTATTATCTACATGTTTTTTACACGTAACAATTACTCTGCCAATAGTTATAATATGTATATATTTCCTATAATCTATAATAGTTACAACAAGTAGAAACCCACACCTAATTTCAATGCAAGTATAACTCATATCAGTTTTCAAGGAACGCTTTTAATTTTAGATTCCTTAAATTTTGTATCGTACCTGATGTTTATGTGAATGCTGATGGAATTTAGTCTCTATTGTATAATTATAGACAGATATAAGATATTGTGTATTGTTTTCGATTCCTTGGAATCTCGCCTACACAATTGAGTAACTAGCCTTACGTTCAGTTCGTGTTTGGGAAGCCTTACAATATGGATAGTAGTTGGTACTTAGGTACTGTAAGGCCGTTTGATTTAATTGCGTCCTACGAGTGATGACGTCACGACATTGAGATTCAGCACCCATTATGATAAATGAGCTGTTCGGCATAATATGTTTACACTAGAGATACTATGTTCTGTTTATTTTTCTCTACGGTGTAGATAAGAATGTTTTCAGTCGCACTTGAACTATAATAAAACTGTTACAAAAACCTCAATTTTTACTCCATTTTATTTACTTATTTCACACTTAGGTACACACAAGATACAGATACACTATGCAATTTTAAAAGTACATAGTGTAGCGGGCGGCCTTATCGCTACAAGCGATCTCTTCCAGGCGACCCGAGTTGAGTGAAACCTAATAATAATTAAAACTAGACAGTGTGCAAGAAGTGCTACTTTTTTGTAACAAACTTTTGTTTTAAAGCTAAGAAATAACACATTAGCGCTGACTCGAGTCAACTTGAAGGTTTATTTTAACTCAAGACGTTTTTGAAAGACATTTCGTCGTTTCGCAGGGAACTTGCTAATTTGACAGATGAGATCTTGACTTATCGCGCTTTAGCATTAGAGCCATTTCAACTTATGTAAATATAAAACGTTTTTGTAGGTAGTACGTTAAATTACACAAAAAGTGGATTTAAGTAACACTTAACGCTCTAAAACGCGATATATATTAGTTAAACTTTTATATATATATGTTAAAAATAAGTTTAACTCATATATATCGCGTCTAAAACCGTAAACGTGTTTTATTTAAATGTTACAGACAGTATTTAAAAATGGATTTGCTTACGCGTATTTTTTTTTTAATCACTAAATATTGAACGGATTCGAAACTCAGTATTATCCACTAGACCAATTGAACTGTATGGCTGTGCAGAGCTTAAAACATTTCCTCATGTTTAACTTTTGAATTCCCGCAACCGTTCCGCAAAACACAAGTTCGCTGAATGCAACCCCTGAACAATGGATCTGTATAGTGTTTTACGTTTTGCATACTGCTTATATTGAGGTTTCAAATCGGTTTATGGAATTTGAAGATGAGAAGGTCATATACAAGAGTATAGCAAGCAGAGGTCCACTTGATGGAAGATGCAAGGATCTTTTTAATAAATTGTGCAAGGCTTTCACGGCTATCGTTCAGCATATCACTGTCTTTCGGGCTGTTCGGCCGACGTGAGCGAGCATTACAAAATTAACAGGCTGGAACCGAAACGCGATTAACCTTAGGCTTTTATTCTATCCATTTCATGTCATATCTTCTAGACTGAGTCAAACAAGTGTCAACAACGTTCTTGTTGAACGTAAAGTAAATTGAACCCACGACCCGTTGTATATTATTAGCCATGTGTTTAACTTTATATAACTACAGTTTTAATATCGTATGCTACTTGCAATAATTTTAATGATAATAATTAATCTTTCGCCAGAGCAACTTTGGATTGACCTTCCGCGACCTTGACGGAAATAACATTAACATTCGCTGTGCAAAAAATTTAACCAGCAATTTTCTTACTGGTTTTGAGCACTGTGACTGTGTAATTATGACGATTATGCTCAAATATAAACCGATAGAGAAGTGTAGTCTTATAAAAGTGTAAATAGATTTTAGTATGACGTCATTATGTGCAATAAGACATGTGAAAAATATGAATGTTAATCAAAATAAACAACTAAAATAACGTAAGCTGACTCCCACCGTATTTCGACAAATAGTCGTTGCCTAGGTTAGTGTAATGGTAGCAATGTAATCATCGGGTCGTGGGTCGGTCCCCATCGGGTCCAACATTTTTCTAGTCAATTCTTCTGAAACATCCAAATTGCGTCCGGGTCACGAACCGCCGTCAACTGATGTAAAAGTGAAGTTTAATAGCGTTTCGGTTTCAGTCTGTGCGTTTCCGACTCCAAAGCCAAAATAGCTGGCTGGCTGGAGTATTTTACCTACCATCAAGTGGACCCCGTGCCATGTCTGTCCTCCTCTATCACCAAGCACGAGATGTTCGTGAACCAGGACAATTAGACATTAGTTTTTCTTTCAATTAGGGCACATTTCTATGTAGTGGAGTATAGAAAATACAAATATATATGTATTTTCTAGTGTTAGTATTAATCAGTTTAATAGTGTTGAGAGTTTAGTACACATAATTTTTTTATACTACCTAGTACTACGCGCTTTTATCGAAATAATCTGCAACAGGAAACAATACAGTAAGATTAAGGTAAGAACATACACTCGGAGGCAAAAAAAAGGTGCTATTTTGGGAGGACGTGGGGCATATAATAGCGTGACCGTATTAATATGACCTATTTTGCGAGTAGCAGTGTAAATGCATATTAGAAGTATTAAAATCTCTATTATTAAATTCTGTTTCGCCCTACGTAAGGCGGAAATTTTCATAGCCTTATCTTCGAATAAGAAATGGTAATTTAAATATCATGTAAACTGTAACCACAATTAACCCATTAATAGATTATTGTAATAATTATAATTGTGACGGACTCAATAATCTCATTGTTACAATGGTTCATTATTAAAGGGTCGTGGGACGATTACCATCGGGTTTAATCTGTTTCTAAAAAAAAAACCCTTTAACGGTTTGAAACGCGGTATTTTATATTTGTTAAACTTATTCGAAAATTATTTCAACTACGGCCGGACGTTTCGGATTCTTACCACTAGCCGTGGTCACAGGGAGACTACAGACAGTTACGTGTTTTTAAAATCCATTTATAAAGTCAGTCTTCATTAAATGGCTAGTAGGAATATCCAAATTCCATCCAGGTGAAGTAAAAGCGCGTTTCGGTTTTGGTCTTCTTAGATTCTCAATACCCAGAGCTAAGATAGGTCGACAGCGCAACTTCTTTAGATGATATATATGGCAAGGACATTTCACCTTTTATCAAATGAACCGACAAACATGGGCTAGTCTGTCATAAATAAACCTTAATGACGCTTCGTATGGTTTCATTTGTCGCTTATAGTAGAGGGATAAATCTTTCGTGTATATTATTTTGGCTTAATTAAATGTCTAAAGGCAAACTAATTACCCATACCTACAGGGCGACCCTTTTTCCATCACTCTTCTCGCTTCAATGCTCTTTCTCTTGCATGCGATCTTTAATTTGTAGCAATCCAAAATCAAGGTATATTTATCTATACTAAAATATAATATAAAAGGCTGATGAGTTTGTGTG